TAAAGTATGCCTCCGATCTTGTTTCTAAAGCTGAACTCAATGATGGAAAGAGTGTTTCTACACCTCTTGAACCTAATGTCAAGCTTACACCTATGGATGGCTCTCCACTTTCTGATCCTACTCGCTATTGGCAATTGGTTGGTAGTCTGGTTTATCTTACTACGACACGCCCTGATATAGCATATGCAGTTCACATTGTTAGTCAATTTATGGCTACTCCTCGCTCCACTCATTATGCAGCAATACTTCGCATTATTCGCTATGTTAAGGGAACATTATTTCATGGACTCCATTTTTTTGCCAACTCCTCCCCTGTGCTTCGCGCTTACTCTAATGCTGATTGGGCTGGTGATCCTTCTGATCGTAGATCTACCACCGGTTACTGTCTTTTCCTTGGTAATTCTCTCATCTCTTGGCGAAGTAAGAAACAAGCTATTCCATCTCGCTCTAGTACTGAAGCTAAGTATAGAGCTCTCGAGGATACCACATCAGAACTTCTTTCATTGCGATGGCTTCTTGAAGATATGGGCATTCCTCAACCTTCCTCTACTGATTTATATTGTGATAATCAAAGTGCTATGCAGATTGCTCATAATGATGTCTTTCATGAACGCACTAAACACATTGAGGTTGATTGTCACTTTATTCGCCATCATGTTGCACAAGGAACTGTTCGTTTGGTTTTCATTGGCTCCACTGATCAACCAGCAGATCTCTTTACCAAGACTCATTTTCTTGGACGCTTTCGTACTCTTCTTTCCAAACTCAAGTTGATTTCATCACAACCACCTTGAGTTTAAGGGGGGATGTTAAGATGTGAACATAATTATATTTAGAATTATTGTAAATATTTTATACTTTAGAATATTCTCTTTGTATACTTTATACCTTAAAATATTCTCTTTGTAAACACCTATACATAGGTCATTGTACATACAGTATAATTCAAGAAAGCAATAAACTTTTCTTCAGATATTTCTCCTTTTTTTCCGTTTCTAACAGATCCATAATAAGATAAGTAAATACGTGAAGATCAATAAACTTGAAAATTAATATTTTCAATTCAATATGGTGTCTTAGACATATATGTATTGGGCTTTACTCAAGCTCGACACTAGCCCGATCTTCCAACATTAACAAATAGGACAACAAGACAAGAAAAAGATGATTCATTTGCTTCGCATTTTTGAACCCTGAAAGGAAAAGGACTAGGTGAACAGCAGGGAAGTGTTCTAAAGATTCTAGTTCAGCTCAACAGTCATGGTGGTTAACAGCAAGTGATAACTAGAGGATGAACAAATTATTTACTGAATATTCGTGAAATGAATGTTGACAACTTCACTGCAGACAGATTCATGTTTATGACTCCAGAACCCTCTCAATGGCAGAAATATAGAATTCCTTAGGCATGGTACCAACAATGGACTCCCGTTTCTCTCCATTTTTGAACAGCAAGACCACTGGCACTGCCTTAATCTCATAATCCTCGGCAACTGGTAAGTCATTGTCGGTGTTGAGCAAAAAGCAGTTTAGTTTCCCATCATACTCTCCTGCAATCTCATCAATTACTCGGTGAACCATCCGGCAAGGTCCACACCAGCTTGCATAAAATTCCACCAGAACAGGGACATCACTGCTCAATATTGACTTCTTCCATGAGTCTTTAGTAACAACGGCAGCTGCAAATGCATTTCCAACAAAATATGTCAAGGGGCATTCAAAAGATTCTATATCCTTCATTGGCATTCCAGCATGGAAGCCCAAGGTAAGAATAAACTAGAACTAGTTCATCCTGTCCCAAATTACCATGCTAAAACCCAAAGCCTATACAAAAGCTAAGAACATAAAATCTAATAATTAGTTCGGCAAATGCCTTGGAATTCAACCAAGAAACAATGGAAGGCATAAGCAACTG